AAAGATCGATAGTGTCATTTAATCAAGCAGGACATTATTCTTAGCGAGATTTTCAGGTTCGTCAATGGACCCAACTGAGTTCGACGAGTCGCATCGGATCATAATAGTTTATAGAATTTTTTTTTTGAATGGGAACCGAACATTAAAAGCTCTAACTTGTCTAGTTACATGCTAATGCATCCTCACACTATAGTTTGAAGTCGATCTGTTTCTTTTTTTATTTTTATTTTTTTATTTTTTTAAAGAGAAATGGGTATAGTATTACCTATATAATCTTTTCTTGACATATCAAATGTGGATGTCGCTTTTTGTTTCTCTTAGAGCTAGTCGTGGTACGTGCTGCTTTTGCCAAATCCGCACTGACATTGTATACATTACATTTTTATGACATCTGTCTACTAATTGCGAGAGGTTTGGAATGTATGTACTCAACAAACCTATACTTTAAAATTTAAACTTCTACACATCAACTACATCACTATGTTATACACATGATAGATGTTTATGTAATTTGCAGATACATGCATAAAACAAAACTGACAAACACAATGTATGAAACCGTATAGTATTCATAATTTCCAAGGAAGGTTACTTCAATGAAGATCTATGCTAAAATATAACTGCGATTGTTAGTAATATTAAATTATAGTTAAAAAAACTGAGGTCTGTGATTAATAGAGACATGCTAAATACTATATTAAAAGGACAGCAATTGTAATTTATGTGAGTGTTTTTGTAAACAGCTACAAACACTAACAGAAAATACTTTTAGATAATTAGTCGAATTAACATGATCATTAGTCCCTAACTGGGTTATACTGGATTAACCAGCTGTATCGCTCACTGAAATGTCACTAAATTATATCATAAAACATAAACTTTCTCCAGCGACATTCTATTGTTGGTTACCGAACCATTTAGACATTGTTTGTACGTTAACAAAATAAAACGAAAGCAGTAACGATGTTAACAATTACTGTGTAATAGTAGGCCTATAAATCAAACAACATCTACCCCGCCCTAAGCACGTCTACCGTCTTCTGGACGTGATCGTAAAATATTATAACGTTTTTAGAAAATATAGAATTCCGACCACAGATCCCCCTTTCCCATCCCCTAGAATGTGCCAAGTGCACCTTACCACACAGAAAACTCTTCCACAAACAAAACAATGTACAAACGCTAGGGATTGAGTTTAGTGTTCTCTGACTCATAGAGTATTTAACATTTCTTATGCCGTTTACGAGCTCTACATGTACTTTTCTCTAAGTATATTGATTGTGCCTAACTTTAAGATAATAGCCAGACATATCAATGTATATTTCTATTTAGTATTTGGACAATTTGACTACTCTTTGTAATTGTGTAATATAACATTGTTGGCTCGAACTATCAAGGTTCGAATCTGACATTAAAATGATAATAATAATAATACATGTGATCTTAGTTATTAATAAGATAAGAGTTATTAAGTAAGAGTTATTGTATTCTGATTTATATATATATATATATATATATATATATATATATATATATATATATATATATATATATATATATATATATATATATATATATATATTTGTGTCGAAAGTATTTCATGCTAAAAGAATCAATCTTATTTAATACTGACCTATTTTTATCGACAACCTGCCTTTAAGTAATTAGCTTATTTTGACATTATCTGAAGGCATTATTTTTAGATCTGACCATACTATCAGTAGGCTTATACATGGCTTGTAATATTTGTTCAGTCTGTGGTCATGAACTACATTCGCCTAAAATGTTCATATTCTGATTCAGATTTCAATCGCCTATTAATTATATAGATATTAGTTGACTATATCGAAGAGGGTAAATAATTAAATTCAATTACATATGGTATACAAGTATGTCGGTTTGTCATTACGGTTATAATGTTACGTTGAGTAAATTATACTATACGAAAATATTCGTCCATATTATAAAACCAATTATAAGCCTTCATGGATTGTGCGTGTATACAAAAGTCTTAATTTGACCGTCAAAGAAAGATATTAAAATATTTAAAATATTTTCTCTCACGTAGGTCTCTATTGGTTGTTAGTATAAGGACAAATACCAGATTAAAGACAAATAATGTAATTCAAATAATTAGGGTATGGAAGAGATATTTTATAAACACTAGATTTTAGATAAATGTACTAGCAACACGTATACATTATTAAATGCTTAATTAATATGATATTTGTATATCAGACTCAGATTTGACTATTTCTGGCCTTTTTCTGTAAATGTTATTGTTTTATTTTTTTAAATAATGTTTGTTTTACTCAATTGGATAAAAATATTATGATTTTATAGCTGTTATTGAATTAATCATTCAGCTTTTACCCTATGTTTATAAATGCTGTGGGTATGGCTCATTTTAACTCTTGAGACAAAAGAACTTATAAGTTCTCGTTCTCTCTCTCGTTAATTCAAGTCTTGTTAGCCAGGGGGAAATAAAAGTTTTCGAACTAAATTAATTGTTTTGAACGGGATTCCTGTTGATAACAAAAAACATGGTGGAGTATAGGGAGGGAGGGAAATAGTGAATCAACAGGCCTAAACGTATTTACAGCTTTTAGATTCATTCTTACTTATAATGTGTTTTTTTTTTTAAATAGTTATCTAAAATAGCGCAAAACTAATGTTTGACAACATCAGTAAGCAAAGGTAGATATTAAAATACAATCAAAACGATACACCGTGTAACAAATAATTATAACTATAAAATGAGAATTAAACACACTGCTTCGTTTTTTATAACCAGCGATATAACATTTAGTGCTGTGTGTTTTATGCCAAATACGTACTGATTTCTATAAACATTGATACCGCTTTGGTGTCGGTGAAGGCAATAAACAATGATTTTTTTACCCGCTTAACTACCTTCGCATACGTCAGCATTTCAGAGCCTCGTAAAAAAAAGAATTCCCCGAATCAATTAATAGTTGTAAAGAAAATTTAACCATCGAAACACTAATTTTATTCTTCTATTTAACGTTGTTTCGTGATGCATGAGTGCAATCAATGCATTACTCGGAGAAACAAAAAGCTTAAGCTTGAACGCCTTAAATCGATTTTATTTCAGACCAGTTGATTAAGTGTAATGGAAATAACTTATTTTTTCCTTTTCAATATATATATAGACATATATATGTATACATATATATATATATATAAATATATATATATATACATATGTTTATATATATATATATATATATATATATATATATATATATATATATATATATATATATATATATATATATATATATATATATATATATATATATATATATATATATATATATTTATATTTATATACACGTTTTTCCTACACTACCGCATGAAAATTTTGAGTGTACGTTAATCACTAACAGAAAAAATGAAGTAGAACAGACTTCGCTGACCGCCCATATGTCAGTGACGTATAGGGGCGCTCTCTGGAGCCCCCGATTACACTACCGCAGAGACGCCGCGTACGGCCCATGGCTCCTTAAAACTAACATAGGCGCCATAATACTCACAGGATAACCCAGAGCGCCACATAGCATCCTGAAACAATGATACAGATTGCAACATTCGCTAAAGTTACGCAAATCAACAGGACTTTTTCTTTAACACGTAGAAAAAAAATATTTGACGTGTTATAAACATCAGTGTGACTTATGCAATGTGTTGCAATACTAATGTACTTTTAGAATATCAATTTTAATTTCTGATTAGATCGTCTAAAAATAGATGCTAATTGCATCATTCGCAAAGTGACAAAACTGTTTAGATTTTTTTACGGAGAAAATGAAACATCCCAGTTAATAATCTAATCTTGGTTAATTTTTCTGATTATTAAAACCAAAACGTATTACATGGCCCTCAGCGGCCTATGTGAGCCTTTGGGGGCCGTAACTGAAATTTTTATTTGCAGTGAAATCGCACGCCTGATGTAATTCAGTGAGCGTTTGTAGCGCCACCATTCTATTTATCCTATCTATCGCCACAGCCATTTGCAAATGTTTGACATATATTACAATTGCTATTGAGCTTGCACTTAGCTATTGATTGTTTATAACTACAATATAAATAAAACTTACAGAGTTTACATGTATAGAGCGAATAACACAAAACTCAAATAAATATCTAGGTGTTATAACATTAAAAATTTGAAAATCCATTTACATCACAGGGTCTTTTTCATTTGCACTGAAAGCTTCATTTCTACGAATGATATCCAATCCTTAATGTTAGTCAGAACAATCACTAAAAGCTAAACGAAATTGATATGCTATATAAAAAAACTCCATAGTCGTATTTTTGAAACGCTCAAGTTTTATTATGTGTTATCAAAACTTTAAAGATAAAAATATCTTGAATAAAATTATACGTGTTAAACACATTTATGAAAAAAAACGATTTACCGATGTTGCCTTTTAAAAATTCTATTTAGCTACTAATGTACTAAAACGTCAATTATGAAAATTATTTGTTAAGTCCAAAAAAAAAAACATCAAATTTTATAACAGTTTTTATTTTTATAGCACGGCATATGATTTTTTAAAAATATTTCGTGGACCCTTCGAAACCTTTTTGAGAGATTTTGTTTAGAATTTTTATTGTAGTACTAAAATATAATACATCAATCATTTCACTTGATTTTGAGTGACGTGGATAAATTGAAAAAAATCAAACAATTTACAAGTGTTGGTCTACCTTTTCATGGAAGAGCGGAGAATAGTAAAGAAGAAGGGTATGTGTTGCGGAGACATTTTATACACAAATATTTGTTGCTGTTAGGGTTTTTCCAATTTATTTAAACTGAATAAAATCACAAAATACGGGAAAAAAGGCTACACAAACTCTCGAGACACGAAACTCTTAAACAAGTCAAAAATTGACACTACAGTGTTTAATTTAAACTATGTCCCCTACTAAGTTTTAGCAAATTTGTTACAAGGTAATTTTTTCATTGTCGTCTAGTAAGTCATAATATAGAACTGGGCACCAGACACTGACACAAGTTGAGATACAAGTGATGTTATTCTAGGATCAAGATAAAACAATAGACACAGTCGTGTAGCAGGGAACCAGTTGAAAGCAGTACAACCGCCCGTGAAGTGTTTCTGTAAACATTGAGAGCCACACAACAAAGGTTTGGACACGGTAAGGTTAAGTAGTGACGTCATGTTTAGTTTCTTGTTTTGGTAAAGTTTAAAATTTCTGACTCGTGATTTTAAAATTGAGGCCATCACTTGCATCTCACACATATGGAGACATTCATCATTGGATCTGTGTGTGAATAGTAACATTTTATATTGGCAGTTGAAAAACTATAGACATTTTAATTCAAATTTTCATTAAAAAAATTGTTTGTAGACAGAACCACAAAACGACTGACTTAATGAGGCGCAGGTAACGACCAACAGTAGGTCTGGCACAGTTCCAGGTGTAGTTGCCTGTACCAACAGGTGCTGTCTGGTTGTAACAAATGTCTCCAGAGTCTAAAGGGAAGGGCGGTGCTAGTCTGGGGTCTGTTTTAAACACGTCAATCTGGAAATTGTTCAGCTTGATGGCTGTTGCATACCAGTCACCCCTGGGGTTATAACATAATACAGATTGAGGAGAAGTATAATACTGAGTGTGTATACGTGTGGTTGTGTGTATCGAGTGTGGATGTGTGGATGTGTATAATACATTTTAGAATAAACATAAACATATTTATTTTGTCTTTTAGTTATCAGACAGAGATATCAAATATGAAAATTTTATAATGTTTTAAATACCACCAACAATTTCTTTTATATCTTTAAAATGTATGAAATTTAATCGCTTTATATAATTATCTTGTAAGTGGTTTTTAAAATAAAAATAAATAAAATAAGAACTAAAACATTTGAATACATGTATATAAAATTGGATTACCTGTTGGTGAGAAAAATTCCATGAATGACATAATCGTCCATGAGATCCACCATCCACCAACTGTTGTTCTGACACAATGTGTGCATACAATTTCCACTGTTCATCTCGCCTCGCATCCTACCATCATTTCCTCTTTCAGCAGAATTGCCTTGAAACACCGACGATTGAAAAGCTGGTTTGTAAAGTGCTGCATTAAATAGAGTATCGTCTGCTAAGGAAGACAGTATGTCACACTTGGTATGTAAAATGATAAGAATCGCAAACAAATGTATGGCGTGCATGATGTTAACATGTATAGTTTTCCTACAGCTAGAAGTGCTAAAAATGTACACTTGTTAAAACACTGAATAAAAGACACAACATAACGATGTATTAAAGTCAGTAATGTGTTTGTTAAATAGTTTTATGTAAAATTTAATATTAATTGATTATTTGACTGTCGATAATAAAGTTAAACGTAACATCACGTTACATTAAGATGGCATCAAAAGACCAAGTTCGTTTCATTTAAGAATTCAACCAAGTAGAACACATTTATTGTATTATTATACAGCGATATTGAATAGTTTCAAGCTAAGCGAGATTATAAAAATGATTACGACACACAATGGCCAGTTGACGCAATTGTTACAATTTTAGTGTTGTAATAGAAAACAACGAGCTTTTGTTTATACGGCAGACATATTTTAAAATAGAGTTTTCAATTACATTTATTGATTATGTTTTGTATAGAAATAGTTTATTCAAATCAACCAGTGAAACAAATACAGCAAAATATATGTGCGTATAGTTTAGCTGCTGAATCTTTTCTTACAGTAATGTTCATGCCAAAAGTGAGCATTGAAATATTTTTGTACTAGTGTAGAAATTACTAATTATAAAAAACCTACTTTCTCAACACCACTCTCGCAACTTTCTTATTGCAATACATTTGATTATAACATGTTTAGAAAAGCGATGATGAACTGGGATTTCAATAAGTTAAAAACTGGGAAATATATTTCATTAGCGTATAATGTGGAGAATAATTTGGTAGTCTTAATTATCTTTTAAGTTAGAATTTTCAGTGACATTAAGGTTAAGAATATTAGTGGAAAGGGCAAAAATGTACATATAGTTCTAAAAAAAATATAGTATTTTTTAATGTTAAAGATGGTGGTGTTTATTGTCATTTTATATTACTCGGGGAGGCATATGGCTTATTACATTTACCTTTATTAGTCCGAATAAAGAATACTTGGGTCTATAATCAGAAAAAATATCCACATGTTTGTTTGCAAAAAATGTATATTTTGTATTGTTCCACAATAAAGTAGGCCTGCAAAAGTTACACGTACATTTTTAATGAAGCTACTTTATGTACTGTGAGTTTAAAAACAAAAACGTATATATTTCAGCTGGATTATTGTTTACTATTTAATTGTATGAACTTTTGTTTGTTTTCAAAATTTAACCTATAACTTTTTATAACAGTGAAATATTGGTGGATCGTATCTTGGGAGTGTGTGTGTGAGATTGCATCAGGGAGACGGTGGCTGTGCGCATGCGCGAAAGGAACAAGGAAAAAAAGGACGCAAGAAGATGGCGTAGCTTGGTTGAACACGCTGCCTGTGTGAGAACAAAATAAATATGAAAAACTGCAAAGAAGGCTTGTCTTTTGATTTTACATATGTAATATAAAAGGTAGGAGAAAGGCCTGTGACAAGTTTATATCGTGAACCCAGTCACACAAAAGGCGTGTGACATTTTGGTGTCAGAAGTGGTCGGTGGTCAACACCGTGAAGGAAAGAATTAAATCCAGATTTAGTATTGTAACTGAATAACTGTGCTTGCATCATTACGATGGAGTTCGATCTCTATGCTAAATACATGGAGTTGGCTGACTCTTTTGGATACACTGGGGCAGAAAAGGCCAAATGGGTTGAAGATAAAATAGCAGAAAAAAAAATGTCGGATGCAGCTCAAAGGGAAGAAAGAGCTTCCGAGAGGGAAGTAGCTAAAGCTAAAATAGAGGCTGAGAATGAAAAAGTTAAAATAGAAGCCGAAGATAGAGAAAAACAGAGACAATTAGAAGATAGAGAAAAACAGAGACAATTCGAAGATAGAGAAAAACAGAGACAATATGAGTTAGAATTAGAAAAAAATAAAATTAATCGATCTCAAGACAGCACTGTTAACAAATCGGACTATTGGAAGCCTAAATTCAGAGCATTTAGACCGCAGGAAGAAAGTGTGGAAACTTACTTAATACACTTTGAGCAAAGATGTAAGAGTTTTAATTATTCATCTGCTGGGAAGGCACAGGCTTTATTGACTAATTTGACAGGAGAGACTATTGCCATAATAGCAAGTATGTCTGAGGCTGAAAAAGAAGACTATGACCTAGTAAAAGAAAGATTGATGAAACATTTTGGAAAGACAGAAGACTATTACAGAAAGACTATAAGAGATGCTAGAATCAACAACACTGGTGACATAAACCAGATCATTTTTGACAACAGGGGAGAAAATAGAATTAGTAGAAATAATCATCAAGAGATATCAGCAGGGGTAGAAGGGTCAGAGATGGTGGCATCTGTTAGTCAAAGCAATACAACACTGAAGATGTTCCCAGCTAAAGTAAACAATGTCAGAATAATGTGCCTGAGAGATTCAGGTTGCACATGCATTATTGTTAAGAAAAGTCTTGTAAGACCAGAACAATACATTCCTGGCATAATGAAGATGACATATGCCAACAAGAAATTTAAGGATGAGTGTAAAATGGCAGTAGTTGATATAGATTCTGCTTGGCTGAAAGGTAAATATAAAGTGGCAGTCATGGAAGAACCAATAGCAGATATGATTATTGAGAATGTAAAGGAGGTGAAAGAAAGAAATGAGGAAGACAGAGATAGATGGGAAAGTCAAATTGGAGCAGCGGTTGAGACAAGAACAAATAGAGACACTAAAAGAACTCCTAGAAAGAATAAGGACAGAAACTGCATGTGGGAGTACATACAGTAGAATTCTTAGGATTCAAGGTTGGAAATAAAGAAATTAGACCTACTGAAGGAAACAGGGACAAAATATTAAATATCAAAACTACTAGTACAAGGAAAGAAGTGAAATCATTGTTTGGACTATGCAATTTTTATAATATTTTGTGGATAAATATGCTGAACTTACTACTCCTTTAAGATTTTACTTTCAAGCTTTAATATATAACATCAGTTATCATACATATAGAACCTGGTTTAGTGGATGTAACAATATAATTTTTAACCACTTTAGTTGTATCACCAACCTCAACAGTTTAAAAAAAAAAAATTTCATTGATTGGCTTTGCACATTCCTTTTTGGCTAACAAAATCTGTTACTCTTTATGTTGTGTGCATTGGTACTTAAGCATCAGTGATATACGGTATAGCTACCAACACTGAGGACTACTAACATACATTATTTTACATGTTATTGACTTTGCGGGAATTTGTAAGTTAGAAAACCATTTAAATTAAAGCATGCAGTTTGTTATCATAATTTGTTAACAAATGTTTAGTTTGTTATTGGGCCTTGTATTTTGTTAACTGATGTTTATGAACATAACAGTTGGGTATTTCTTTTACACTTTATATGGTAATGCTGATGGATTCTATTGTTGTTTCAAGTTGTATTCAATTAACAGAGCTTAACTATGTGTTTGGAATTTTGACTTGGTAAATATTGCTTTCATTAGGAAAATGGATTTGTCTAAGAACATTATGTCAAGAAAAGCTAACCTGTAAAGGGACTGCACAATACACTAGCTGATTTTTTATCAAGACAGATTGAAGATGAAAAAACAAACATGGAACTGACTAAAGAAAATAATGACCTGAGACATATCAGCCAATTCTTATAAGGAAAATTTGAATAATGTAGTATGTGATGTGTACTTCCAGAGAACATTAACATTTTAAAAATGTGAGCAAGATAGGAATAAGTCATAAAATGACTTGTATAAAGATGTTTTACCACTATTTTAATTTAGTAATGAAAATGAACATACATTTTGTTGTATTTTTATGATTTGTATGTAAACTGTATATCTGGTTAAGTAATGACCATGATTATGGCAGTATGACCTGACAGATGTGGTAATTATATGTAATAAGATGTGGTAATTTACATATATTATGATGAGGAGTTTACCTCAGCCAGTGAAGTAGGGCAATCAAGGAGATGATTTGCCCATGGAAGCTATTGCATAGCTATAATTTTGTTCTACTAAAATAGAGTTTTCCTCAGTTAGATTTATTTGAAATACACTAAGAGGCAATATTCCTTAGTGAGGTTTAATGATTTTTGTTTGTTACACTAAGAGGAGATGTTCCTTAGTTAGAGTCATTTGTTCTTACTAAACTAAGAAGGTTTACCTAAGTTACAATTTTTCTTAATGGTGATACTTATAAAATAAGTGACGCTTTACACTTTGCCATGTATTTTATGAATATCATTGTTTTAATTAAGTGTACATATAAAATAACTTGGGATGTTTATTAACAAGTTTCTTTTTCCACATGATTTTCATTTCACTGTTATGTTATGAAGATTTTATAGTGAATGTGATCTATATAACAAAAAAAAATAATAAATTAATTTTTTTAACGGGAAAAAGGGCGTATAACAGTGAAATATTGGTGGATCGTATCTTGGGAGTGTGTGTGTGAGATTGAATCAGGGAGACGGTGGCTGTGCGCATGCGCGAAAGGAACAAGGAAAAAAAGGACGCAAGAAGATGGCGTAGCTTGGCTGAACACGCTGCCTCTGTGAGAACAAAATAAATATGAAAAACTGCAAAGAAGGCTTGTCTTTTGATTTTACATGTGTAATATAAAAGGTAGGAGAAAGGCCTGTGACAAGTTTATATCGTGAACCCAGTCACACAAAAGGCGTGTGACACTTTTGTTTTAGCTGTAATGTTGCTTTAGATTATTTCATTGTGTTGTTTTATTCATGTCTGGTTTTGCTGAGAGTGTTTGTTTTAAATGGGTTTTATCAATTCTAAAGAGTTCTATATTTGATGCGTATCTTAATAGACTTCTGTCTTTAGAGATATCATGTTTTGTGTGGAACATAGATATTATCATGTGGTTGTGGAGTCAACGTAGGTTATATGTAGGTAGATAGACGGGAGTAGGGACGTAAGACGGACGTTTCGAAAATTCGAGAATACTAACAAAACAATACACGCACTTAAGAGTTTTATCGATTACGTCTCTAAGAAGTTAGCTTTTAATGTTACTCTTTTTCTCTTATGTTAAT